CACTCACACACACACACTCTCACACACACACTCTCACACACACTCACTCTCTCATTTCACAAGCGTGTATTGAATCGTGGATGTCGTACCGAACGGTTCAGTATTATATTGAGAACAGTGGCGTCCCTAGTTTGGTCTCACCTGCTCGGCGAGCAGAAGACTGTTGAGCAGCTGTTTGGAGACAAACGTGTCGCTCGCGTCCAAACCGTCTCCGGTCCGCCGTCTTCCTGAACCTACGTCCACTTCACAGAGACAGAAGAGCGGTTGTCAACATACACACTAGCTATGTTTCCATCCAAAGATGCGAATTTAACTTATGTGCAAAACTGGAATATCGCATAAAGCATTTGTGAATAAGCACCGTTTCCATCCAGTGGTTTCTTTATGCGATATTCCAAAATGTGCATAAAAATAGGTGGATGGAAACACGGCTACAGACACGCAAGCACACGGATCGTACGGTTACTCACACGCGTGTCCACGTCTCAAGTGTCTCGCACCGACAGACAGACGGGAACACAAGATATCCATGTAGGATCTCCTCAGACGTCCTGTGAGGAATAAAGCTGACTTATGAAGCATTCTGCACGTGATTTAAAAGCTTTAGAAGAAGGAAAGTGGTGAAATAATGAGGTTAAATGACTTGAATCAATCAGACATTCCATGAATTCATCATGAAAGACCATCATCATCATTTTATGATTGCAAGCAGAAGCTGTGAGAGTTTTCTCTGTTTGTGGTTGTTGTTTGTGAATTGTTAAAAATCATTTCATGGAGATCAGACTCAGAAAGAGTCACTCAAACTGTTTTTGACCTTATTGAATCAATACACTGAACTGAGCCGAATAATGAGCTGTTTCCAGCAGAATTTGTCTAAATTTGGATAAAGTTTGCATCATTGAATCTTAGATCATCTTAGAAACAATCTGTATTGTATAAAGCACTATGGAAATAAATGTGACTATTATATTGACCCCACAATGATCTTATAAGATTGTATTCACTTCCATGACTATAAACAGACTATCAAACATCACAATATGAAAAATATTGCAAAATAATGCAAAGAATTTATTTCAAAAACAATATCGTAGCTATTAAACTATTTCTTGTTATGGTTTAAAATCCGTATTTAACCTCAGAATGATCTCAAAGTAAGTCTGAGTTTGTGGTGACTGTGCTTTAAAATTAAATTATTATAAACTTAATTCAAGTGATGAAGGATTCTGACAGTAATCGGTGTTAAATACTACTGTAAGGTTAAACCCTGCCTGCTTTACATGTTTGAAAATGATTAACAGTTGAAAACATTAGAAATGCATAAAAGTAATCCAGAAAGTAATCAGTTACATCACTTTAATAAAGTAATTGAATAGTTACACTACTTATTACATTTTAGATAAAGTAACTTGTAATCTGTAACCTGTTACATTTCCAAAGTAACGTTTGCAACACTGCTCTGATCACATTTCTTCTGGGTTTTTGAGTCTGAACTATGATTTAAGATGATGATGAAGATGATGAAGATGTCCTCACCTGTGATTTTGGCCTGTGGTTCTGGGATCTCCATTAACACCGATCTCTGATCAGTGTTAAGGATTTGGTTATTTCCTTTTATACTATTTATTTTTCACATTTTTTGATATTCTTTAAATGATTTATTACGTTGTCCATTTTGAATGTGTATCATGTTTAATTGTTGGATTTTTGGGTTTTTATTAGTTTATACGTCTTGTGGTAACAAAGTCTTTTATTTTGACATTCATCCATGTAAGCGGATATTGCGGTGTGCTTAAAGCATTCTAGTAAGGAGCGCAACTAAGACGCACATGGTCGATTCATTCAAAGGTTTACGGTTAAAGAGAACTTCAAGGATTTAGCTCCTGGTTTAAATGGAGAATAAGGTAAAATATTGACTTTGTTATCTGTATTGTTTTGGATTTCTCTTAATGTAGTAATGGTTATTTGTTTGTATGATGTTAAATCGTTGTTGTGTTTGTATTTGATGTATGTTTGTTTCAAGGTTTATTTATATTATGTTTTGTGTTTGTTTTCTTTATACAAAGCTCTTACGGTGATTCGTGATGTCTTATGGCATTTAACGGTGATTACTACAAATCTACGGTGACGGATCTTTAATAAAGCTCATTATGAATCATCAGTTGAAGAGTCCAACATTTTTTAAGCCAGGAAGCTACAATCAGAATAATCCGCCATCTTAAACTCTTTCTTCTCTTCCTGCACGAATCTCGCTTTAATGCCTCTAATTTTCAGTGCAAAACTTAAATAACCTTCAGTAGCGCGGATTAAAATACTGATGAAAACTAAAGAAACAAAAATAGTAAGGAACATTCATTAAATTAACTAATAAACACTGATGAAGAGCAGAGCTAACTTTCTGTTTGGCGCCGAGAGCGCGCCGCCAGACCCCGCCCACAGCTTTTACCGCGTGAGCGGGGCTTCCATTCCCTGCGCTATGATTGGTTCGCTGCAGTGAGGAGCAATTCTGATTGGTTGGACGTCAGCTCAGACATCCAGAAGCTCTAGATCGACTAAACGGTGAGTTTAAGGCTTTCACTTCAGTTTAATTTCATTTAAACTCTACCTCTCTGTGCTAAACAATAACTTAATGTAATGATGATCAATATTGGTGTTTTAATCTGACGTGCAAGATATAAAAAATCTTTTATTAACATCCAGATCTCATACATCAAAAATACCTCATATGACAAGTCAGTGCATCGTTGCTCTACACATTGAATCAAACCATAACAGAGATTACTACCTATTTAATGAGTGCAATAGACACGTTTTGTCAAAAGAAAAAAGAAAGAGCACCATAGAGCGAAAGATGCGTCAGGATGGGTTTCATCAGAGTGTACTTTTCAATATAGTCTATAGAGTCTCGTTACAGCACCAGAGTGATCGAAATGAAACACAATAAACATGAATGTCTCTCCTCTGGGTCAGACTGCTGTGGACGCTTCACTCATGATTTGGTAGGCTGGTTCATCAGGTTCAGGTTGTTAGACACACGTTTCCCAGAGTTCAGTGGGGTTTGGACAGAGCTGTTCGATGCTTTGGGTTTGGGAATCCTGGTGGGTCCAGGACGCCGGAATGATTCCAGAGGCATCTGTCAGGAGCCAAAGAGAAAGACATCGGTCAGTTAAACACTGGAGAATATATGCTATTGTGTGCAGCTACAGATATAGATTATATAGATTAACCCTCCTGTTACTCCTACTCTGTGTTTGTGGTCAAATTGACCCACATTGGTTTCCATGCAACTTGCCAAAAATCGACACTATGAAAAACACTGAAGACTCACGTAAAAAGAAAAACTTTGAGTCACGTATTTTATATTTTAGTGTTTGACAAGCTACAATAAAGTTTTTCAGTTTTTTATCTGATTCTTTAGTGTGTGTTTTTTTTTTTGGCAAATTGCTTGAAAACCAATGAGAGTCTATTTGACCCCAAAACCAACGCTGTAACAGAATTTGTACAACCTTTCCAAAATATATCTATGTGTCAAAACTTTGCATGTACATTCATGACCCTAAATAAAAAATATACACCAAATTTCAAGAAGAAATAACCAGTTTAACTGGTATTTCAAGCTATTCAAAAATCAAATGTGGGTCAATTTGACCTGCAACACAAAAGTCATAACAAAACGTGTACCGCCTTTCCAAAACACATTTATGTGTCGACACTTTGCATGAACATTCATGACCCTAAATGAGAAGTTGTCACCACATTTTAAGACTAAATAAAAAAGTTTAAACAGTATTTCAAGCAAATCAAATGCGAGTCAAACGTGTGTGGTGCTGAGATGACCAGAAGATGGCGCTCTCAAACACAGAACAGCTCTAGTTGGTATGGACACACAAGGCTTCATGCTCTTACACCAACATGCACTTGAAATTTCTGTCTTATCAAGAAGGCTTCAAGAAAATGAGAGACAGGAGGCTTAGTGCAGACAGACGAGTGTTTCTGCAGTCATCTGTGAGCGTCTGGGGTTTGTGTGACGGATCTAATTCAGCACAATCAGCACAAACGCTCTGCCAGAGAGTGATGTCAATGCAGGAGAAAGCATGTCAGCTCCCTCTGCTGCACATCTGCTAATGCATTTTTTGGATCTGACTAGAAAAAATGTTGTTACTGCTACAGTAAACAACAAATGTGTTCTGAGAACGTTTGGCTAACGTTCACATTTAGTTATTAACTCTATATCTCTGAATGTTCAAAACATGTTGTTTTTTAAATGTTTGTTTAAAACTAAAAACATTCGATTAGTGCTGTCAAACGATTAATCGCGATTAATCGCATCCAAAATAAAAGTTTTTGTTTACATAATATATGAGTGTGTACTGTGTATATTTATTATGTATATATAAATACACACACATGCATGTATATATTTAAGAGAAATATGTTATGTTTATATATTTATAGTAATATAAATGCATATAGTATATACATGTAAATATTTTCAAAATATATAGGCTACTGTATGTGTGTGTATTTATATATATACATAATAAATAAACACAGTACACATACATATATTATGTTTTGTGCTAATGTTTTAAGAACGTTATTAAAGACCAGACAACTTTGAATGAACGTTCTATTAATGTTACTGGAAGAATGTTTGTTCGTAACTTTAAAGGTCCTTGCACACTGAATCCGATATTTTCGTATGCGTTTTTTCGTATTCGTCATCCTAAAAATTCGTCACGCACAGAAACCTTGCACACTGAGTCCGATGTGTATTAATGAATCCGTTGCAAACATATTCGCAAAACAATACAAAATGGAGTCTTCAAGCAGTTTGGATGACTTTGTTGTTAAATAAAGAGGAAATATTGGATCCATCCAATCCTGAGATCGCATAGAGAGGAAAGAGAGTTCCACCTCCTTATTAAGGAGCAGCGGGATTATCACATGCGATACAAAGTTTACTTAAGGATGTCAGTGGCTCGGTTTGATGCTTTGCTAGCGATACTAGAGCCACATATTAAAAAGAAGACCACCAGTTTCTGTGAACTCAGTGTGCAAGGATCTTTACAGTGCTTTGTGCTGTGAGACGAAGTGGATCAACTTGACAATCGCCATTCTGGATTTTGGCGTTCGCTTGTATGGTGGCTCTGAATTGTCAAAACACCTCTCAAAATGCTTGCTACGGATGCTAAAAATACAGAAAATCGAACCCGATCCGAATTTTTTTATGACGGACGAAAGTTTCAGAGGCAGTGTGTAAATGTGATTGACACAACGTGAGGTCATATTTATTTTTTAACATGCAGAAATTTCGGACAAAAATTTCAGACTCGGTGTGCAAAGACCTTAAGAGCACCTTGCCAGAACGTCCCAAGAACATCCCGTTTGCTGGGTTGGTTCTATTCTAAGATCCAGTTTGCCAGAATCAATGCAGTGGCTTCTGCAGTGGATTTGGAGATGTTTTGCAGAGAACTTTCTAAACGAGCTCTCCAAAACCAAACCAACTGCCTACAGGTTTACGTCACACATGAAAAATGTTCAAATGTGGGTCACGCTGTGCTCTGGGCTCGGGTAACGCAGCAGAAACCCGTGCGGCTCGAGTCAGAGGGCACGTAGATTCACATAATGAACGCTAATTAAAAGTGTGGTACGAGCAGGAGCTTCCTGAGACGAGCGGCGCTGCAGCTGCTGTCACCATGGAAAATAAACAAGGCTTTTGTTTGGGCTTTGGAGGGCCGCTGAGAGAACCGCCTCCAAACAATCGAGTTCTGCTGAAGGAACTCGCAGGAACATTTATATTGTTTAACGCTTGCCTTCACACATGCTGCTACGTCTGAGTTTCGTAATCATTAACAAAAGCCTAAGCTGGTTTATTGGTCTTAGCACGCTTAGGTTGGGTGGTTTCTGAAGGCTTTTGCACACTTGTCAGATGAAAGCACACCTAAACCAACTTTAAGGCCAGTACGCCACCCTGTGCTGGTTTAACTTTTTTCACAGGGTAATTGTGTGTGTCTGGTTAGGTCTGTGTATAAATATACTATCAGACATCATCAAATCACATGAAAAGCATCTCTAAATGATTCCTTCAGTCCCATCGGGCACCACATGTCATTTGTGTTTCTTGGTAACGAGGTTCACACCATCTCTAGTGCACATACTGCATCGATTCAAGCTAAACGAGTGCGTGTGTGTTTGAGTGTGATTCACTAACAGGGCTGATGAGACATCGTCTCGCTTCATAATCACAGCTGTTCCCGAGCCCTCCATGAACGGCAGTTTGTTTAGCCAGACAACCAGAGGATACACACTCCAGACGGCAAAAATTCCAGCCTGAATCAATTTAACGCTTGATATAGTCCATGTACACGAGTGCTCACTCACTCATGTGCTGCGTTTCCACGTGTGTGTGTGAGCCGATTCATTAAAAAGAATGTATCTATACCATGCTGTAATGTTACTGTGTGTGTTTGATAATGTTACTGCCAAAAAACTTGTCATCTTTTTTGACCAGTGCTTTGCAAACTCATCAAGTTAATGCTTTAACTTTCTATGCACTGCCGAGCTTTAATGTTGCTTTTCTTTGGAGTCAAAACTCATGCAGCAGCGAACAGTCATGCATTTTCCATGATATCATTAGAGAAGACTGTAGATTGTCTCAGTGAGAGCGGATGATGGTGGTGTTTTGGACCGGGCCAGTAACTATGACAGCAGACAATGAACTGAACTCATGCAGACATGTTCTCAAACTCTTCTTACCTGATGTGAGGTTTTCCCTCACAATTCTGCTCATTATATGCGGTGACTTGGTTAATTTACCCCAGAAACGTAACACTATGTCTTATTAGTGGTTAAATGTTTTCTGTTCAATTTTTCTACAAATGAAATCATGCAATCATAAACATCTCTCTGCTCCAATGTGCATGTGTATCTCATCAGAACTACCTAAAATAATAATAAATTAGACTATTGTTAACATTCTCATTTAAATTATTAACAGAAAAAAAAGCAGAAACCCAACATAAAATGTGAGTGGAAAATGGAAAATAAACCAAAAATACAATTGTACATCAATCAGTGAACTTTAATGGTACAGGATCATTTGCTATCTATCAAAAACAGTAAGTGCACTTAACCTCAAAGTGAAGTGAAAAAGCACAAATGCTCGTTATGTGTCGTATTCTCTGCTTTCATTTTACATATC